TTTTTTAATTATTTATTTCCTTATTTATTTTGGTTTTTCCAGACAGGGTTTCTCTATGTAGCTTGGAGCCTTCCTAGAACTAGCTCTGTCTCTCTTTTTTTTTTTTTTAGAACTAGCTGTTATAGACCAGGCTGATCTTGAGCTCACAGAGATCTGCCTCCCTCTGTCTCCCAAGTGCTGGCATTAAAGGCTTGTGCTACCACTGCCTGGAAATTGCTAAATACGGATTGAACTCATGAAGCAAAAAAGAAGCAGCCCTTATTTTTAAATGTTCTTATTAAATAAAAGCTTACCTCCCCCCCCCAAAAAAAAGTAAGAAGTGGGTTTGGGGGTAAGGTACTAAATTTGAATTACTAACACCTAACTCTGAAAATGATGACATCCCCCAGTAACCCAAGCTCTAGGCAGGGGAAACAAGCTCACTGGCTAGCCAGCTTAGTCAGAACCAAAAATAAGGTGGGAAAAGAACTGAGGAAGACATCCCAGTATTGATTTTTAGCCTCTACATGAGCTTGCATGGACTAGTACACACCTGTGAACACACACATAAAAAAGACTTCTTTAATTAGTTTAAGAATATACAAAGCTATATCTAAACAATCATACATTAACCCCGAGACACTTACTGCCAGGTCTGAAACCCAGATCATTATGACTAGATTAATCAGTAGTCTTCTAACAAAAAAGTGAGTTCTGAGAAAGACTTAGGAGCAGGTATATGGACTGAAGAGTCAAGAATGTATAAACTGAGGAGACAAGGGTAAAGGGAAACACAATGTTGTTGTTGTTGTTTTAAGCAAGACTAGCAAGATCAAACTGGGAGAAAAGTCTTGTAGGCCAAACAAATGGGTTAAGAATTACTTTGATAAGTACCAGCAACTGCTACATATCTTACATGGGAAGGTGGCAAGGATTGCTTCTTTCCTGTTGCTTCAGGAGTACAGTGCCCTGTTCAGCAATTCTATTTTTTAAAGTTTTAATCTTAAAAAAACTTAATAGGATCTTTAAAGATTCAGTTTTTATTTCAACATGAACTTCAGTGGCAGAGAACTTACTTAGCACTGCCTTGACTCTGTGTTGGAACAAATAAAAAATTAATAAAGTACTGCTTTGGGTCACACACTGCTTTCACCAAATAACTGTGTATGGGAGTATGCTCAGAAAATAACCTTATCCTCTGTGTACACTTTACATTCTTCACAAAAGTAAATTCCTTTTTATGAATGATGAACACAATGGAGAATGAGAACCCCTTCAGAAATAATGCTTGTGAATATTAAATGTCATTGTACACTGTAAGAAGTTACTGAATTTTAAAGCAAGATGGGGTCTTGGAAACAATCTTTCAGTGGTAATCCCTTCATTCCTCAACAAGTTAAACTGAAGCTCAAGAAGTAAGTAGCCTTGATGTCATGACTAAACCTGTGGAAGACTGAATGCCAGACATCAGATTTTCTGGGAAGCAAAATCTAAAAACTGTGCTACTCAAGACTGCATAAAGAGCAACCAGATTTGGCAAGAAATATTAAATGATTAAAACTAACTGCAACTTCAAACTCAGGTTCTCACATATATCAGAGTCATACTTCCAAGTGTTCTATAACCTACACATAGTTAATGGCTACCATATCTAACAGGGTAGGGGAAACCGTTCCCTCATATTTGTCAATTATACTTCAATAAACCCGGGAAAGGGGAAAGTATTTCCATCACTACAGAAAATTTAATTGGACTGCACTGCTCTAAAGAATAAGCTGTAAAGTCAGGTATGGTTTGAATTCCACTTGGAGGTGAACAGATGACACAAGATAGACATAACACACACCTCACAAAGTATACTTGATGATTAAATAAAATAACTTTTTTCATATGTACACTGCCTAGAATTTAACATAATAAATACTAACATCCTTCCCTCAGGGTCCTCTTCTTTCTACTACTCTACAGAACATCCTGTTAGAAGATACAAATAAGTGAGCCTCCCAAATTAACACCTTCCTCTGAAGACAGCCCATTCCATTCTTACCAATTTCTTGCAATGTTTCTATTTAGGAATAATGAAAGAAAAGGTGACTGTGAATATAATAAATATCCATTATATTTTATGTGACTATACTGAGTTCTCATTCAAAGGATATAAAATAAATTGTACAGTTTCTAGACAACTGTTCTTCTATGCTGGTAAATAGTCTACATTACTTCTTCATTATATTACTTCTCATTATGTGTTCTGATTGAACATTACATGAAAATATAACAATATGTTCCTCTACAGTACTTTAGTGCCCTCCCTACCACTCCCAAAACCCAACTTCCAGAAGCTAAATCAATCTTTAAGACTTCACAGTACTTCTACTGAGTAAATAAATTTGACACCTCTGAACTGTATCACTTTAAAACTTTGTAACACATAATAATCTAGAAAAAATAACAAAACTCAGCTCAGTTGTAAACCGTACATTTCTATCAATAAAAAAATTTCATTTATGAGCAACTATTTTATTTAGCTACATTAAGTCACATAGACTTGCATTCTTAACAAGTTCACCAGTTTTGAATTCCTAATATGAAGAATTCAAAGAGTCCTTTAAACCTTTAAACCATTTGCCCTTAAACATCTACCACACATCTGCCTACCTTTTTTTTTAAGTAAGATTTCTTGCTTTTTGGAGAGTAGTAGTGCATACCTTTAATCCCAGCACTCAGGAGGCAGAGGCAGGTAGATCTCTGAGTTCAAGGCCAGCCTAGTCTACAATGAGAATTCCAGGACGGCCAGAGCTGCTACACAGAGGAACCCTGTCTCAAAAAAAGAAAAAAAAAAAAAAAAAAAAAAAAAAAAAAAAAGAAAGAAAGGAAAGAAGGAAGGAAGGAAAGAAAAACCGACAACTACAAAAGGATTTCTTGCTTTTTAAACAACCTACCTAACTCTCAGAGGAGGAAAGAAGTATTGGCAATAAGTATCCCCTTTAAGTTCCCTAACTCCTATTTTGTTCCTTAAAGAAAATTTACTCAAAAAAATGTAGCCACTGATCTCTTTCAAAGTTGAGAAAAAGCCATAAATACTAAATGAATAACAATACAAACTGTATGTCATTTTACAACTCTATGTGCAATAGATAAAATTAAAACATCTCCAAGTATACAAACCAGAGTACTTAAGAGTCAATAGAGTTCACATTAAGTTTTCTTAAAAACTGAAAAGTTTCTATTGCTATCTCATTTTTGATTACTGTCTCACTTTATACATTAAAAAGGTGGCATCTGTGCCTAAACTGATAAAAACTAATTTGTGTAGGATTCTGTAATTTTATTAAAGTTCTTAAAAAAGTGATAACCTCCAGACTGGTCACAGTGGATGTTCCTGAGGCTGCATTCTAAGTACATCCGACCCAGAAAGTATTTTTAGCAAATGTGTTCAATAGATGCTGGTGTTATGCCTAGCCTAAATTAGAAATTAGTGTCATAAATTTAAAGCAACAATGTTACTAGGGACATTTTAAAGATACTCAATTAGGACATGGTGGGGGAGGAGAGAACAAGACTTGACATAATTTACCCACCACCTAGAAGCTAAGATACTAGAAACCTGAGATAAGTCACATCTGTTACTACTTTTGAGGAATCTGTGATATTCTACCTTAACAAACTTTAATATTAATTAAGAAAAACTATGAAACAGTGATGCTGCCTTGTGTTTAAAAAAGGTCTTTTCAGCAAACGTTTAAGACAGATTAGGTAAATAAAAAATACTGTGATGTACACACACAAGACTATGTCGGTCTTATAAATCAGGCAAAATCATATTATGGGATCATCCATGCACGTGTGTCAATACAAAATATGAACAAAGAACACCATAGAAAATATGAAAGACACAAAAATAGCTCTTGTGGTAATTGGAGCAGAAATGTATTGACAAGAACAGCAAAAAAAAAAAAAAAGGTGGTATCCACAACATGACTGATCTCAAATTATGAGTGAAAAAAAAAATGGTTCTATATTAACCCAGAAGCTTTCCTTTCAAAATATTTTCTTTAAAAGAACATTGAATTTGAGATCCTCAAATTAGAGATTTAAATGATATACCTAGCTATAGTCTATTAAGCACATTGAATAACTGTTTAAGGTAATTCCCTCCCTTTTTGGAAAACATGTTTCCCCTCTGACACACTAAGATTCACAAACCCAGGCTTTCCCGAAAGCTGTGGCGTTTGCTGCTTCAGTCTTCTTTCTAGCCCAACTGTCTTTCACGAGTCAGACACACTGGCTTTTTGTTTTTGTTTTTCCTCCACAGCCATGTTTGAAATGTGACCAATGAACTGTGTTATTTCATCTGGACCCAAGATCTGAACACACACTCAATGATTTTTCAATTGCTCATTCCAAAAGTAGCTAGTCGATACGACAGGTCATCCTGGAACAAGCAGATTTTTAAAACCCAACACATCGTCCTTGTACACACTGATGTCACTCTGTGATGCAAGGCCAGACTTAAAATCTCTAGCCTAAGTTTCAAGGCAACATCCATATGCATTATCAGTGAAATTGTAAACTGTTCATTATTGAAGAAACCCCCGCAAATGCATCCAGTCATGTATTTAACTACATCTCAACTTTATTTTTAAAAATCTCTGAATTGAATTGGTTTTCAGAAGTCTGTCTTGGGGCAATTCAGGTGAATAAGGTTTTGTAAGAACAGTTCCTGTCCATAAAAATTAATCCATACACCCCATTTTTCCTCTATTAACAAACATTGCCATAAGTGAAGGATTCAGACCTACATCTCAACTTTTTTGGGTCCCAACTATAGATTCCTAAAATTCAGTAGATATTGGCAGAGTCATAAAAGACTTTCAAGTTTAATGGGGTGGGGGTGGGAGGGTTGTGTGCTCATGCAACATAAAAAAAATGCTTATATGAGTCAATTAACGTAACAATAATAAGTAGAAAAAAATCAGAACCCCACAAACGGAATACTGAAGATTTTAATCCAGCCTTACCTTGAGTTTAGGAACACTGGAACAGTCCATCTCGCATCTATTCCATCCCTTATACCTTGCACTCATCCCTAGCAGAGGTTTCAACTATAAAACCCTCAGGAAGATCCGAGGACCCGGACCCAATAAGAAAAGGGAAGTTGATCGGGTAGCTCCGGCTACCTGGCTCCGCAAGCTTCAGGTGCGCGCCCACGATCTGCAAAGGGGACCCAAGAAGGCCAAGCGAAGGACCTTCCCAAGCGCCCCTCTTACCTTCGTTATCTCAGCCTCGTCCTCTCGGCTGGAGAAAAAAAAAAAAAACAAATCCAAATACAAAAAGCCAGGAGGCCCCGGGCGCACAGCCGGGGAGGAAGAGGCGC